TCGGAGACCAAGAACTCAAGCAGGGCAAGAGCCTGCCCTGTGCCTCCCTGCCCTGCTTCTTCCCAGGCCTGGGTTGGATCCAGGACCAGCTGTTCAGTCCCACGCTGTCCTCATATCTCCATCATGACATCCCTGCTCACGGTGCTCCTGGTGGTTCTAGTGGGCCTGCCTGTGGGTAAGGTGGATGGAAGCTCAAGGGACCCGGTTGTGGGACAGGCAGGTGGGAAGTCAGCGGGCTGGCCAGAGATCTCCTGCCTTCTGACTGTTCTCACCTGGTGCCTAGTGGGAGTGGGAGGTTGGTGGAGACAGCTGGGGTCTGGCTGGCAGGAAAGGGATGTCTTCCTGTTCTCTGAACCCCGTCATGGCCCACAGCCCAGGCTCTGGAGTGCCACGTGTGTGCCTACAACGGAGACAACTGCTTCAAACCCATGCGCTGCCCGGCCATGGCCACCTACTGCATGACCACTCGTACTTGTGAGTCTGGACTTTAGGGAAGGAGGCCCCCAGCTGCCTACAAGCTGAGACTGAGCCATCCAAGGTCCTGATTCTCTCACTACAACCTTGTGTCCTGTCCTCTGTAGACTTCACCCCGTACCGGATGAAAGTGAGGAAGTCGTGCGTACCCAGCTGCTTTGAGACCGTGTACGATGGCTACTCCAAGCATGCATCTGCCACCTCCTGTTGCCAGTACTACCTCTGCAATGGAGCTGGCTTTCCTACCCCAGTGACCTTGGCTCTGGTCCCGGTACTCCTGGCCACCTTCTGGAGCTTGCTGTGAAGCTCTGTTCCCCCAGGCAGACCCACTGAAACGCAAAGCTCTTAAAAGACACAAATAGTCCCCTCTCACCCCCTCGCTCCACCCAACCCTCTTCCTTCAGCCGCAACGAGAGCCCATGGCTACCTACAAAAGAACTCATGGCATCCAGATACCTCACCCCGAGGCCATAACCTGTCATTTTCAGAAGGCTGATATATGGATCTAAATCTCTCTGCCCAGGATCAGAGGCATCTGGGAGAGTGCTGTTTGGTGGGGGTGGGGTGGGATGTCAGTCACACTGATTTGAAGGAATTAGTGGCCAAATTCCACTTTCATAGCATCAGGACCCTGCCTCAGTCTACCCAGTAGAGGATAGGCCTGCCAGAGGGGGATAAAAGATCACGAACTGTCTAGAAGCAAAGAAAGACTCAGTGGAGCTGTCTCCTGCTGAGTTCAGATGCTGCTCAGGGCAAGTGTGAGATGGAAGCCTTTTTTGTCATTTCCAGCTCTCTCAGAAATTCTGCCAGACCCGGTGTCAGGACAGCTCTGGGCTGAGGGTAGCTAGCTATGGCTTCATTTCCACAGGCCACTAAGATCTCTCCAGCCTCAGCAGCTCAGCAGGCCCTGCGACCTCACACTGCTGCTGGGCCTTGAGGCTGGCAGAGACATGGGGGCAGGCTGCCCATGCTATATTTTGTCTGGCCTGTCCACAGGTCAGAGCTATTCTGAGCATGGCAGGAAGGGAACAAAGGCAGGTCAGAGCCAGCTGGTGGAGCAACCGGGACAGCAAAGCAGACTTCAGCTGGCTTCCCAGGTCCTGTAGGCAGCTTCTGCATCCTCTGAGCTCTCGGTAAATTATGCCGAGGCAAATGCACAGGGAGCCAGCCCAAGTACTGGGTGACTGTCTGTGAAGTCAGCTGAAGACTTCTAGGTATCAAGATCCCGAAGAACCCAACCCCGATTTAGGAGACACTGATCTGTCTTTTATGCCAGTGTAGTTGACCCAGGGAGCCTTACCCTCTTCTCTGACTAGTACCCTAACTCATGTGCCACTGAGGAGACCCCTGAAGCTGGCCCAGCCCAGAGGTCAGGATGCTGGCCCTTGTCCATGTCTGGCTAGGAGAATCTTACTGATCCCCACATCCTGAATGCTTTTTCTCACACCACCAGCTGTAGGATCAGGACACAGAGGCCCATCCTGGGGACCTTCCTCCCTGTTCTTAGGCAGACCTGAGCTCCGCTGCTGAAAGTGATGTGGTTTTCTGCCTCAGTTTCCTCCTCTTGCGACAGGCCAGTGGGGGATGGGAGATAGAATCCTGCTGATGGGCCTACCCACATCCTCGGGAATAGGAACTGTGCAGCTTTATTACAGAGGTGTATGGGGTGGGAAATGGCCCAGAAATGAGGAGGCATTGACTACCCGGAAAAAATGTGAGTCTCATGGGAGAGCAGAGGGAGGAGTGCACGTGCACATGAACACAGTGACTGCAAAAACCCAGAAGGCAGCACTGGCTGTCGTGTCCCCTGAGGTCCAGGCAGGATGCTGGGAGGAAGCCAGTGCTGCCCCCTCCTGAGCTTTCATAGAAAACACAGAGAGAGAGAGAGAGAGAGAGAGAGAAAGAGAGAGAGAGAGAGAGAGAGAGAGAGAGAGAGAGAGAGAGAGAGAGAGAGAGAGAAACAGCATTGGGACTGACCTATTGAAGCCACAGGGCCCTTGGTAAGGAGGCGGGCCCCTAACTCAGTGGGTGAGGCCTGGGAAACTTTACCTGGCTTATGCAAGTCCATTGTCCCCAGTCAAGGTGGCATCCTGGGCTAGAGCTGGGAGGAGGCCCAAGACCAGGTCCTCCCTCCCACCACAAGGGTTGATGTGGAACAGGCCCTTGATTACCTATTGCTGAGAGTGTGGCAGGGTTTGGGGGGCAGTTTCTTTCACCTGCCTCATAACAGCATCTAGACAGGCCCCACAGTGTCCACACTGCCACCCACCCCTACAGGAAGTGTACCTACCTAGCCTGTTCTTGGTGCTTAGCACAGAGCCCAGAAGGTGCTCCATTAACACAGGGCCAAGCCTGCCAGTGGGAGGTGCAGGTTAGGGGAACAGCGCCAGATGGTCTGTCCTGAATCCTGTCTGGGGTGGTGTGATATTGCAGGTGGCTCTGCACACCCCACAGCAGTTATGCAAAATGTGTGTGTTTGGGGGTTCACTACTGCTCCCCTTTGACAGGTAAAGAAACTGAAGCACAGAGGAGTGAAGTACTTAATTTTCCCAGGCCACCTGGCCTCCTCATCTGCCTAGTACCAACCTATTCCACTATGGGAACTCTTTCAACAGCTGGGGGTCTTTGAGGCTGCATGCTGTCAGGATGACTGTGGCTTCATAAACCAGAGACTCCCAGAATGCAACGTCATAAACGTTTACAAATCTGAGGCCTTAGAAGGGAACATCAGAACTGGAAGTTTGAGGGGCTGGGGGGTAGGCCAGGGGTGCCCAGCCCTGTGTGTGGATACAGAGAGAGGAACACAGGATGGAGTGGCAGACAGAAGAACAAAGTCACATCAGCCGTACAAGCTGACTCTGCCTTTGTCAGGGATAGGGCTCAAGGCAGTGGGTGTGCTCACACTAGGGTAAGCAGTAGCCCCTCAACATGGATGGTGTCCAGGAAGGCTGGCGGTGATTCTCTAAGCATTGCGTTCTGGAAGCATTGCATTCACTGGAGAGAGGCTGCTGGGTGGAACGGTGATGTCACAGAGCCTATGTACCTCTGTGGGGTTTGCTGAAGCCGGGCCAAGACATGAAGCTAAAGCATGCCGAAGAACGGAGTGAGGTGTCCGGTCTAGCCCATCAGAGAGATACTGCGGTGAGGGTTACGCTCTGCCACTGTGCCTGTGTTGGCTTCCCCAAAGCGGATAAGGGGGAGGGGATCAGGATCGCCTCCATCTTCATCATCTGAAACTCCAGAATGATTTCCGGGAGTAGGGCGGCCCCTTGCTTCAGTGCGTGGTTACTTTCCAGCAAGTACCATGGCATCCGGCCGCACTGCCTGCCCTGGGTTCCTCAAGCACAGGCTCATACTCCAGCCATCTCACTGGTGAAATGACAGTGACAGCGGCCACTCAGCTGGCTCTTGGGGACCAGCGCCAAGCCTGGGGCCTGCATAGAGGCCACCCCAAAGGATGCATGGATACATGCTCCCTGGCACTTCCCTGGGCTGTGTCTCTGCCAACCCTAAGCTCTCACCCAGCAAGGTCATGAAATCCACTTTTAGGCCCCTTCCCCTAGCAAGCCCCATGCACCTAAACTTCCGAGTGGTCCGTGTCAATGTCCCCCGCTGAATGAATAAACAAATGAAGGACACGCGTCTGCCTTGCTCTCCTATCTGTCTTCTCTCTGAGGTCAGACCTCACCCACCCAGATTGGCTTGCTCAGGTAGACCTCCTGGCCCAGAAGGTCCCTGGCTCCTGGCCTGATATCAGAGCCAACCAAGGCAAGAGTGGTGTTCACGGGATTCCAAGAGCTTGCTGAAAGTCATCTCCGTTCTGTGAAAAGAGGCAGACCCGCCAATTCCCATTGATGGACCAACAAGCCCAGGGGTAGACTGAGGAACTGCATAGGAAAAGACAGGACACACACATACACACGCTACTTCTGCCTTCTGGATTTTTGCTTTCTGATCCCACTTTTTTGCTACCTAGCTCTACCACCAGCCCCCCCCCCTCAGGATCCTGCCCAACCCCTCGGTTTGGGGACCCCATAAAGCACAGAAGTAAATAAAGCCACCTGGACAGCCAGAGCAGACACACGAGATCTCCTGCCTGTCCTGAGTGACTGTACCCATCTATTGGCAGGATGCCCCCTGCCCTGCTATCTGTTGCTTGTGTCTCTTACCCCACCTGGAACCTTTTTAACACCAAAGTCTTTGCTCCCCGCTCCTGCTTGCCACTGGACATATACCACAGGACTTAGTTTCCTTGGTGCCATGCCAGTACCATCCCTTGACAGGTAACACTCACCCCTTGTGCCCAGGACCATGTGTATAGCCATACTTCTCCTGAGTTTCTTAGTCCTGGAAGGGACAGGGCAGGACAGGACCGAATCCTGATTTAGCTGATGAGGAAACTCAAAATCCCCACCACCATGCTCCACGCAGAGTGAGCGGCTAAGGCATCATAGTTTCACCTGGCCCTGGTTCCATTCACACCTGTGAGGGGTAGGGAGGGCTACTTGCTTATGCCATGCCCTCCGAGCAGCTCCAGGGTGAGGTGGACCTGCACTGAGTGTCCAGCCTGCACAAGGCCTCTCTCGAGAGCCTTGGGCCTGATGGTTGGGACATCCCTGTTCCACAGAGGAGGGAAGAAGGCTTACGAAATTGTACCAGGCTCCCTTGAGGTCACACAGCAGCAAGCTCTGCCAGCTCCCATCTGAGCCAGGTAGCAAGTGACTCAGGGCTGGGAACCAGCAGCTATGGGAGCCAAGGGTGGAGTAGGATCCACAAGCAGGTATAAGGGGTGGCCAAGGAGTAAATCTCGTCCTTAACACGGAGAACATGAGGCTTCTCTTCTGGTTCCTTCTGGCCGTGGTCTTGAGCCTGGAACTAGGTGAGTTGGGGGTGTGGCCGCTTTCTCTACTGCACTGACTTATTCCTGTCCTTCCATCCTGGGCCACCACTCACCCTTGGGGTTACCCCTTTCATCCTTCCTCTCCCTATGCTGGTCACCAAGGCCCTCCCTGCCCACCAGCCTCTGTCCTCTGCCACTGGCCTTCCCAGATTCCTAAGCCCTTTTCTCTGGACTCAGCACCCTCTGCAGTCCTCAGCTCACTGCTCAGTTTGAAAGCCACCCCCAGGCCTCTCCAGTTCCATAGCAGCACTGCTGCACCCACACAGACATGGCACGCCTCTGCCACTTTTCCCTCCTGCAGTCCTAGAGCTCCAGCAGGTCTGCAGCCACTCTCTCCTGATGCCCCCCCCACACACACACCTCCTTGCTTAGATTCTCTCTTCCACCTTCCTTGGGCAACCTCATCCTCACTTGACTTCAGTCCCCTCAGACTTCTATACCCTAGTTTCATTTGCTTCAATAATAGAGGCTTTGACCCCCTAGTGTTTGCTGATGGCCTCCCAGGGACACCCCCAAATATCACTGCCTATGCCTGGTCTTGACATCACTTAGGGGACCCTAAGTGGTTCCTATATCCAACCACAACCAATGCCTGAGCAAAGAAACAGTTGCCCCTGTTGTCCAGCAGCAACCTGTGTTCTAAACTCGGCCAGCCCCAGCTCCTAGAGGCCTCACCTAGAAAAACCTCAGTTTCCACCTATGGGTGGGAACACTCCAGGACTTGGGGTCCACCTGAGGTGGGGTAGGAGATCTATGTGTACACCGCTGGCTGTACTTCACCCTTCTTGGACCGAGCTTCATGGGGATTCTCTGACCTGAGAAAGCCTGAACTTTTGACCCCCAAGTGTTCCCTCAAACCCTTCAGGAGAGACCAGATCTACTTTGATAGTCCTGAGCTCAGAGTTGAGAGGTTTTTGTCACTGTCAGGGCTAAGGTTTCGGAGGGCATGCTCAGCCATGGGCCAGTCACCCTCTCTGTCTTAACCAAGGCCTGAATATCTCAGGAGCGTCTGTGAGCCTGAGACCACTTTCTACACTGGGACCTCCCTGCCCCTTCCTCTATGGAAATCATACCTGCCCACTCAAGACAAAATTCTCAAGGCTGGACAGAAGTTGGAGGGAGCCGGGCTCCACGTGCCTCTCTCAGCAAACTCCACATCCTACATCTTTTCTGGCACCTGCTCTGTCACCCAGGGGCAATGCCATCTCCCCAGGGCTCGAAGCAGCCAGAGAAGGTTGAGCTGCATCCTAAGCTGATCTCAGAATGAGCAAATAGGATGGGAAGGAGTCACCTGGACCGGCAACATTGCAGCGGGACTGAATACGGTGGAGTCTGCTCCCCCAAGGCTCACCCCATCCTCCCTCGCATCCTCTTCTCCAAAGCCCTCACTTTCTTCCTTTTCTTTCCTTTTTTGTTTGTTTGTTTGGTTTGGTTTGGTTGTTTTTTTGTTTTTGTTTTTTTTGAGACCGTATTTCTCTGTGTAGCTTTAGAGCCTGTCCTGGAACTCACTCTGTAGACCAGGCTGACTTCGAACTCACAGAGATTTGTTTGCCTTTGCCTCCTGGATGCTGGGATTGAAGGTGTACACCACCACTGCCCAGCTAGTCCTTTTTTTCTCCCTAAACAAGTACCTGCTTGGGGTCCATCCCCATGACCTATCACTGCACCCAGAACTAATTTCTTTCTGAGAGCTAAACCTTCCTGGCCTCCTTGACGAAAACACACACACACACACACACACATACACACAAAACCCAAGTGGGGCAGGGCAGTTATTCTTTCTCTTAATGACCCAGCTCTTGCTCCAACTCCAACCACTGATTCATTCACTTACTCCTGGGACTCATCAGTGCAGGAGGATGCAGCGTGATGGATACTTGGGGGCACTGGGAATGGGAAGGGATCCCCATTCCTCTCCAGAACCCCAGTGGATAGCAGTGTTAATCATGAAAATAACAAGGCCAGTCTGTACATCAAAGGAGGTTCCCTGGGATGGCCTCTGAGCTACCTTGTGCTACATGGATCATGGAAAGATGAGCCTGGACAAAGTTAGGAGACACGGAGAGGAAGAAGAACGAGAGGCGGTACCAGTCCAATTCTCCCCAGCGCTTTGCCTGTTCCTTCTGGTGCCCCAGCCAGCTGCTGTCTAAGCCCCTCCCTATCTGGTGAACAGTCTGTTCAGTGTCTGTAAGATCCATGGGGCAGTAGCAGGCTTGGGGGCTTTTGTTGCTACCTTTTGTGTTCCTGGCAAGGTCTCAGCTTGCTCTGCGGGGGTGGTGAACAGTCAAGGCAGGTGGTGGGGACCTTGCTATGGTATGGACTTCCTGTCTGTCACCTGCTCCATGGTGTATAGGATGAAGGACTGGCCTTTGAGACCGGCCGGAACTGACCGGCATACTTCCCTGTGAGGTCTGGTAGAGGTGTGGCTGTAGGAGTCCCAGGGGGACCTCTACTCTCCCTGGCTACTCAGTGGCCCAGGTAGGAGGGGGCTCTTCCAGGGCAACCATGCAGCAGCATGGTGCTGGAGAGTACCTAGGGCCGGGCGTGGGGTTAGGGAATCCAGAGAAGGGAGCTTAAGGAAGCACCAGAAAGATGCAGAGAGGCAAGGCAAGGGCAGGGAGACAGATGAGGGAATCCAAAGGAAGCATGAGAGAGTGTGGTAGGCCACTTTCCTGACGGGCACCCCCTGGGCTGGATGCAAGAATAGTGATGTACCATTTGTCAGGGTGGCAAACAGAGCTCCGTGGACTCCCACCTTCCTTCTGCCTGGCCATGGATTCCCTACTAACTGGGTAAAGGCCCCACCACCTCAGCCCACAGAACATTTATACCAAGAGGTATAAATGATCCTTCTCAGGTCCCTGGGGGGGAGAGTATCGTTAAAGTCTCAGTCTCAGATTCCCACTCCCCCCCCCCCATTTCAGGAGCCTGGACCTGCGCTCCTCTCCCCTAGGAGCTCTCACCTCTGCTCCATCCAGCCCTTGGTGTCCTGGGCAGAGGGACACAGGCCAGCTGGTTCCAATATGAACGAGTATCTCTCACAGTAATACGCTGAGCACCAGGGTCTCACTTCTCCCTCCCTCCAAGGCCCAGAGGGGCTTTGCACCACAGAGGAGGGCTGGGAAGCTGGGCTTCAGAGCCCTGGGGCTGGTGGAGGATGGAAGCAGGGTGTTGGGTACAAGAGCGGGTGTCACCCTCTGCAGGAGTTGCTCACTGGCTGCCCCTGTCTCTGTCTGCCTATAGCTATAACACAGGGCATGCAGTGTCACATCTGCAAGGGGTTTGGAGGATGTTCCCACCCGTCCAGATGCCCAAGGAGCTCCACCCACTGCATCATCATCGGCACCCGTGAGTGCGGTGGGAGGGTGGGCTGGACACGCCCTTCTTGCACAGAGAGCTGGCTCACTGGGCAGGCAGAGCCCAAGTCCATGTGGTGGTTAACCAACCTAAAACAGAGTGGAAAGATGTCTGGCAGTCCCTGTCTGGGGTAGGTGGCCGGGCAGGGGTTCTTGGTGCCCAGGGATGATGCTCAGCACAATGGCGAATATGGCAGAGGTTTGGGGAGCTCGGGGATTCAGGGAGCACCATGGTCTCTCCCTTATCCCTTAGGAGCTCCCATCAGCTTCACAGACTTGCCTCTGGTGACAAAGATGTGCTACAGCGGCTGCCCTGATGTTGCCAGCTTGGGCTTGGGTCCTCACGTATCCATCGTTTGCTGCCAGTCGAATCTCTGCAACAGGGACTGACCACACTCTCACTGCCAGCTGGCCCCACGGAACCACGCCCAGGCCTGGTCCTTGGGGATCATTCCAGCCTGGCCAGCCCAAAGCCCCTCCCCCCCCAACTCAGACTTCCTCAGGAAGTTCTGAGTGAAATCCTGCATAAATCCACTGTGGTACAAACTTAAGGCCCTGATCCACTGTGGGCCACCCTCAGTGTCAACAAATCTTTCAATAAAAGCAGCTGGAACACACGGTGTAAGTTGTCCAATGGAAGCAGTGTTCCAGGCACTGGATTCAGGCAGTCTCTTAACCATGTCCTGTCTCTTATCAGTCACAGCCTCCTGGGCCCAGGCTGTCTGCTGCAACCCCCCACTGACCTTCTCTCTTCTACTAAGAGCCTACCTATTTTTAGGCAGACACGGGGTCTGAAAGGCGCAGGGGCTGCAGATGGTGACGCTGCTCTTGAGTAGGCTGTGAGGAGGAGCCGAGGCTGTAGGCACTTGAGAAGCACAGCAACGTGAGTCTGGGGCCCAGAAAGGAGGCTGAGGGCTGAGGAGCACTCCAACTTGGAAATGAGAGTACCCTCGATCTGGAGTTTGGGACACTTGAGGAGCACCCTGACCTGGCCTTAAAGGCTGGAAGGATCTCTGACCCAGACCCAATGAGCACCTTTACTCTGAATGAGACTCCAGAAGCCGCCTACAGACTCACAGTTGAGCGGGTGGAGGAGGAGGCCTCTGCAGAAGAGGAGTGGTATTCACTTACCACAGTCCTTTGGGGATCATCCACCTCTGTTGTCAGTAGCTCTCGGGGAACCCAGCTACCTTCTTGGCCTTATGACTCTGGTACCTTGTCCTGTTCTGTCTTTCCTACCACATCCTTGCCTGGTTCACCTTGCCTATGTCTCCTGAAAGGCTGTCCATCTATCAGACCCTGTGTGGCCCTGGGTTTGGATAGAGCCACCCAGACAGTATAACCACTCACTCACCTTAGTCTGGACACAGCAGTTAGACACCCAGAATTTCTGGAAGTTACTCGGTAAATATTTACCCACCGGCTCCCAGCCATGTCTGGAGATAAGTTTCGGCCTCTTGGTTTCGGGACCACAGAGGGAAGTCACAGTTGGCACCTGGCAGGAAACACAGAGGCAGGCCCTGACCTCGACATGCTTGTTCTCAGCTTGGCAAGGTTTTCAAGAAAATAAACCTTTGTAAAAAAGGCGACACCCATGAGGAGAACAATGGCCAAGCAAAGAGTAGCTGACAGAAAGCTGGGGTCTCAGCATCAGCCAAAACCCAGAAAAGAGGAAGCTCATGCTCTCAGTGCCCGAATGAGCAATGGTGCTGCTCAGGGCAGTGTGGGAAGGACGGCTAGCTGCACATTGGTACCCAGATGCAAAGCTAAGTAGAGATGCGTCCAGACCTCTCTCACCAGTGCAAAAGACACTTCAGTCAAATGAGAGACTTCAAAGTGAAAACAAAGACCTTGTTTGTTTGGGGAACTGAACTCACTGTAGAGCCCAGGCTGGCTCAGCATCCTGCACAGTTGAAAAGAAATTCTTTAATTGCTAGCCCATTCAGAAGAGAAAAGGTCTCAAACATGACTCTGGGCTTACAAATGATTAATTGAACGATTAAACCCGGTTTCTGGTTATGACCCGGAAGGGGTGCCCCTGGACTTACACACCGAAGTAGAAACATGTCCCTGGAAACTGGCCCATAATTGCTCAGAGCAGAGCTGTTCACGCCCAGCAACCACAGGGTGGAAACCCACATACCCATCACTGTGAATGCATGTATACAATGTGACATCCCTCAGGCTACACAATACTTGTCAGCAGCCTGTAGGAGTGAGGCACTGACCCGCACTCTTGCAGAGCTGGCCCTTGAAAACACTGCCAAACACTGCATTCTCCAGGACTCTGCATGAGATGGCGGGATTTAAGGCAGACTGGAAACAGATGGAGGCAGGTGTACAGGGCAGGAGGAGACTTCCAAAGCATTTCCTTCTGCTGCACCATTAAGCATCTCTGATCACCAAGATGCCTGTACATTTCTTTGGTCACTCTAGATATCAGAAAGGTTCTCCGAGAACTAGGATGGGAACACACGACATAGCGACAGAGGCTGTGGCAGAGAGGAAGGCGAGTGGGAGAAGCGTGCCTAAGCAGCCGTCTGTTGGCCTTGAAAACGTGGGCAGGGGCTTGATCACTCTGGTCAGCAGTGACTCTGCTGTGATGTCCAAGGTACCTTTGTCTGAATTGCTGCAGTTACAGAAATCGGGGTGTCTTGTGCTAGGCCTGCAAAGAACAGGGTGCGTGCTGAGCAAGGAACTTTTGGCAGGGCTCAAACAGGACACTCCCGTCACAACTTCCTGCCTGTGCCTAGGATTATCGGGTTTGACAAAAAGTTCTCATCCTGGAACTTTGTCCAGCCATCAATCCTGCAGTGGGCTTCAGTTGACCATTCTCCAAAACAACTCAGATACCAACTACGCATAGCCCACATCAGATCTCCAGGTCGAAGATCGGCCCCCAGGCTATGCTCATCTCACATCCTTCACTCTCTGTGTCTCTCCATACAGTATTTTAGACATCTTTGGTCATGTCCTTGATTTTAAGAGTGTGTAAAAGTGTTGCCTGAATTCTCGGGTTTCACTAAGGAACGTCAGAGCCTCCCTGCGTCTCCAGACACGAGTACTTTCTCATTATCTTCCTCAGAGGCCCAGATTCTCCTGTGTTAAGCAACCCAGAGGCTGAGAGTCCTGTCCCTTTGGTTTTACGGAGGTTTCATCATGTGGGCATCATTGATTACATCATTGGCCACTGGTGATCGGTTCACCTTTCAGTTCCTCTCCTGCCTCCAGAGGAGACTTGGGTGGGGATAAAAGTCCCCACCCTCTAATTGTGCAGGTGTCTCTTAGGTGGCCAGCCCCATCCTGGAACTAACAAGGGGCATCCCTCCGCTTGTCATTCATCAACTTTTAAAAGACACTCTAATTGCTACAGGGTTTCCAAGAGTTCTAAGGAGCTGCGTGTCAAGAAACTTGGCTGAAGACCAAGGGTACTTTCACAATGCTGTGGGAATGGAGGGATGGTTCGATAGCTAAGAGCATGGGCTTCCTTTCTGAGATAATGGAGCATGTCATCACAACTAGTGGTGTTTGCGGATGTCTGTGCCTATGCCAAAGCTATTGAGCTCTGTAGTGGGATGTCACTATGTATCCCAGGCTGGCCTTAAACCCATGGCAATCACTTAACAGCCACCCAAATGCAGAGATTACAGGTGGGCAGCAGCACACTCAGCAACTGATATAATTTGAAATGTGTGAGTTGCCAGGTATATGAGGTACAGTCAAGGAAGCCACTGACAATTAAAAAGAAAAAGATAGTCAGGCAGTGGTGGCACACATTTTTAATTCCTAACTCAGGAGGCAGAGGCAGGTGGATCTCTGTGAATTTGAGGCCAGCTTGGTCTACAGAGTTTCAGGACAGCCAGGACTACCCCCCCCCCAAAAAAAATCCCTGTATCGAAAAACAAAAACAAACAAGCAAAAATAAAACAAAAAAAGAAGATAAAAAAGATGCAAAATCTAAATTGGCAGTCATAAATTATTATATAAGAATCTGTAAAATAATACACATGGAAGCTTCCTAAAACTTGAGAGACTGGGACTAAAGGTTCAGGCCAGCTGGGTCACGTGAGGAGACTTGGGAGAGGAGGCTGTTAGCAAAATTGAAAGGCAGAAGACCGAGAAGGAAATATTTGCCTCACATGCCAAGAAGCGCACCACCCTCCACATGTGCCACAGGGCAGTGCCACAGGAAGTGATCAGAGGACACACAGAGAGGACAAGCAAAGAGGAATGCTGGGGTGGGGTGACAGGAGAGAGCTGTCACCCTTATTATCAAGGCTGTGACCATGAGAGAGAAGCAGTGGGTGAGGCTTGGCGGGGAGGGGCCTCTGGTGCTGCTCCTTGGAAGGACATTGGTAGACTCTAAGCCTGGAGTTGGCCGGATGCTGCTTCTGTAGATGCCTGTGTCGTCTCTTGTCTAATTCAGCTAACTTCAGCGCATCTGTGCCCACTGCTGGGTAGCCATGGCCATGCGCGGTGATGGATTTGCAGAATCAGAGACTTCGAGGCAGACTTTCAGGAGAGGGGCTGGCTAGCAGGCTGAAGTGCAGTTTGGGAGTCTGAGGCCAGATGTCAGAATGTAGGGTGATCTTTAATGGTTTCTTCTGAGGACCTCCTAGGCCCTTTGGGAAGGGCTACCGCCAAGTTTACCTTCCTGGACGCCTCCTGGAAAGGTTGATCTACAGTAGTGAGGACTAAGGTGGTTTATGTTTCCAGGGACAGTGAGCCTGTGGAGCTGTGGTTCTAGCTCCCCTGAGACCAAACTCCGTCCTTCTAGAGACATTCCTCTGACGTCTGGCTGGTGGGTGGAAAGGGTAGGTACGGAGACGTCTACTGCCCCACTTTCAGGATGAAACTGTGACTATCTCGTGATCCACAGAGCAGAGGTGCTTACGGGGTTTATGGATGTCCCCTGGGAGATGTGTGAGAGGATAAAGGAGGAGCTACGACACTGAGTGAGGACAGGGAAGGCAGAGGCAGGGCTTTATGACTCAAGAGAGCATCTGTCCAACCTCCCTCCATAGCTTGTCCTGGGCTCGGGGTAGTAACCAGGGCTCCCTTTCCCAGACTTCCAGAGCCAGGTCTCTGCTGCTGCTCTCCATTGAGAGACAGGGGCACGAATGGGTGCCCTCAGAGTCCCTGCTCAAGTTTCTTCCCATTCACCACACCAGTGCATTTTCTTAATGCTGCATCCGGAGGGAGGTGGTCCAGACAAGGTCTAGAGAGAGTTGCCATCGCAGAGTCTGGGTTTGCCCAGAAAACTAGTAGGCTGTGCAGTGTGAGAGGGACAGAAAGGTGAGATCTGACTGACTCACAGCTGGGGCATGACTCCTCAATGTCAGTAGCCCCAGGAGAGCCCCACAATGTCCTAGCATAGTAGCAGTGCTGCAGAGGTCCTCCACAGTTTCCCTTAGAGCTCGAAATCCAGACACATATAAGGCCTGGCCCCAGTCATACTCTGACCTGATCCTGGTTATAGACTAAATCCTGATCCTAATCGCCATGCCTTACCCCTGTACACTTAGAGAACTGAGTTCTAGCGTTGAGCCCTGACCCTGGTCACAGGCTCTGAGCCCTGATCCCTTTATACTCTGAGTCTTGATCAGGTTACATTCTGAGCCTTGATCCTAGTCACGCATTAAGCTTTTATCCAAAGGTTCCTGGAATTGAGAAGGGACGGGTGTGGCTCTCCCAGAACAGAGGCCTCCCAGACAGAGACAGCCCAGACCCTGGCTGGGCTACATTCTTCCCTGCCCCATGGTGGAAACTTCCCAGGTATAGCCTGGCTCTCACAGCACAGTGGGTGGAAACTCTAAGGGCAGAGACGCCTAGGGGACAGGCATATTCTAGGGGTTAAGGCAGAGGTGGGGCCCCTGGGCCTGAGGACAGGTAGGAGCTTGAACTGAGCTGGGTGTGCTGGAGGAACTGGGTTCAGTCTAAGGACACATGGGTGTAGTAGAGTGGACTCTCTAATCCAGTTAACTTCAGCACATCCATGCTTATGACCATGCGTGGTGAATGATTTGCGAAGTCAGATAGGCTTGGGATGCTGTCTGTCTTGCTGGGTGACCTGGTCTTAGCCAATTAGCTTCTCGGAGCCTAGTTTTTTTTTAGCCACAGTAAAATTAATTAGCACTCTGTCCCTCCAGAACTGTCATGAGGAAAAATACAGTCGGGAGGCCGAGTCTCTGACTCATGCTAGGCAGGGAAAGCACCGTGGTTGGTCCGGTGCCTTGGTAAATGGGGATCTCCCAGGCAGCGTGAAGCCAGACCCCAGTGGCACTCCTTAGCAGAAATCCCTGGGACCATAAATGGACCACGATGGAGACTCACAGAGATCGCTTCAACTGGAAGGGCAGGGCAGAAGCAAGAACAGACACCTGTGGCAGTGGGGCAGCACGAGCAGACCAGGACAGAAGTGAGGTTTGGGCACCCCACAGAAAGCCTCCCAGGAGGCCCAGCAACAGTGTGGTCTCAACCACTAGCAAAGAATCTAGCAGCTGTGCCCCCACCCCTACACTTTCAACTGCGATGAGGTCCTCTAGGGTGATGTTTGTGGAGAATCAGAGAGCTGGTAGCTGCCAGGTCATGGGAATCCCTGTCACAGCTTCCTGTCTGTGGCAAGGACACCACATAGACACACACATACACAGAGGGGGGGGGAGAGAAGGAGGGGGTGGGAGAGAGAGAGAGAGAGAGAGAGAGAGAGAGAGAGAGAGAGAGAGGACTTCCTTTCCTCCAACCCAATGGTTCTTAGCCTTCCTAATGCTGTGACCCTTTAATACAGTTCCTCATGTTGTGGTGACCCCAACCATAAAATTATTTTCATTGCTATTTCATTCTGTAAGTTTGCTATTATCACAACTCGTAATGTAAGCATTTTTGGAGAGAGGTTTGCCAAAGGGGTGGTTAGCCCCAGGTTGAGAACCACTGCGCCAACCCCTCGACCCTCAGTGGAGGGAGCTAGAGGGAGGTATATGGGCCCATGGAAGTCCTGCCTGAGATCAGCCCATGGGCCATGTGAGATCAAGGTGCACAGAGTGGATGGCCTTCCAGACAACATGGAATAGTGGCCCCTAAAGCAACCCTGGGCCTCCCCATCTCACCCTTCTGTCATAAACCTTCCTGGTGATCAAGCAAGTTCTGTCTTTGTTCCTTAGGCCTTTGAGCAAACTCGAGCTTTGTTGTCAGTGGCAATGCAGCACCCCCACCTTCTGACTACTTCAGAGGAGCCGGGAAGGCTCAGTTCACCCCGGAAAGGAGGGCATCCAGGCCATTGCTCTGCTCTGCAGACAGTAGCTGGCCACAAGGTAAAGGGTCTTTAAGATAGCAGGAAGTGGGCAGGAGAGCCCAAACCCCACTACCCCATTCTGTGCAGACTGGAGCCCCCTAACCTGTCCCAGAAGGAGGAATCTGTATGATTCCCTTGGGTAGGAGTCTCCAGGGGTGGTGGGGAAGGGCACCCTGTGGGAGCGGAAAGCAGCCCCGGGGCCAGGGAGGGATAGAATGACTACTTTGGGTGGTGGAGCTGAAAGAACGGTCTTGGGGCAGCGGGGGGGGGGGGGGGGGG